ACATGGAGGAGCTCAGGTCTGTGATCAGCGGGACATTTGGACACTGACTTTGCCAGGGATGGTGATGTGACCTTGCGTAAGTCACTTATCTTCTCTGATCCACATTTCAAAAGTGTGTGTGTGTGTGTGTGTGTGTGTGTGTGTGTGTGTGTGTGTGTGTCTGTGAGTGAAACTTTCATTACAGGTTTTGGGTGGGTGAATGTAAATCCTGCTTTTGGTGAGGATTGATATAAATACGAATAATGCTCAGAGACCGGCCTGGTGTTCCATGTACATTGTGGAACACTTGCTTTGAGGATATCAGCCACATTGGAAAGAGTTGATGCTTTGGACGGAAGTTGCTTGTGTGCAGTTAATTTGAACAATGAAAATAATTGACTATTTTTCCAGAAAGTTTTACTTTATTTGTGAATTTAGGACTTTTTATTTTCTTTCCAACAATGTGATAGCCTTATTTTTCTGTTGGGTTCCTCTGAGCTTAATTTATCAGTAATCTGTAAATGTTTCTGTCAAACAGTCTGCTCCACAGTTGACCTAACTCTCTGCAATTACACATTAATTTCAATGAACAGTCCACAATTTCCATGAATTATCTATAATTTTCAGTAATCTATAATCCAGTAGATGATTCTATTCCACTCAGTCTGATGGATAAACATCATGTTACTTTCCAAAAAATTAAAAGAGACCATATGAAAGACTGGATGGATCTCTCTATTTGATAGAAAATGAATTACTTTAAATAAAAAACTTAGCCTAGGGGCACCTGGGTGGCTTCGTCAGTTAGGCAGCTGACTCTTGATTTCGGTCAGGTCAGGATCTCAGCGTCCTGAGATCATGCCTCACCTCCAGCTCCACGCTCAGCAGGGAGTCTGCTTGAGATTCTCTCTCTTCCTCTCCCTTTGTCCCTCCCCCACTCAAGCTCACTCTCTCTCTCTTTCTTTTTTTTTTTTTTTAAAGATTTTATTTATTTATTCATGAGAGACAGAGAGAGAGAGAGAGAGAGGCAGAGGGAGAAGCAGGCTCCCAAGGAGCAGGGAGCCCGATGCGGGACTCGATCCCAGGACCCTGGGATCATGACCTGAGCCGAAGGCAGATGCTTAACCATCTGAGCCACCCAGGCGCCCTCTCTCTCTCTTTCAAATAAGTCTTTAAGGAAAAAAAAAAGATTCTCTCTCTCCCTCTGCCCACCCCCCCACACACTGCTTACGTGCTCACACACACACTCTCTCTCTCTCTCTCTCTCTCTCTCTCTCTCTGTCTCAAAAAAGAAAAAGAAAAATTAGCCTATTAGCTGAATCGTGTTTTAGAGGAATTGAAACATTGTGCGTGGTATTAGGACAAGTGATGTCTTCTTATTTTCATGCCTTTTTTTACTTGAAAGACTAGTACAGAATGTCCAACACTTACATATAATTGGTATGATTTCTCATATTTTAAATGGCTCAGGCTGAGAGTTTAAGGAACGAAGCTTATATGAATGAGTGAGAAGCCATAACTTTCCAGGGTTTCTCCTGATTGGTTATTGACTAAAGTGCAAGCTGGTTTGTCTCAGCCAGGGCTGCCATGCCAAGGGTAAGCATGGTGTGATATCAGCACATACCCTGTACCTGTGGATCTTAACTCTTTTTGGTTATAAGCCTCTGTAAGAAGCAGGAGGCAGTTATGGACATGCTTCTCAGAAAATGACACTTTCTCCTTTCCACAAAGCTTGACATAGAATGCTGGGGAGTTCGCATGATCTCCTGACTTCCCCTCCACCTCTCCCCTCCCCTCACCACAGTTCACTGAACATGGAGGCTTCCTCTCCCTGTGCTTGACCACACTGATTTTTTTTCTTTTTAATGACACGAGTTGGATATTTCTGGAAACCAGGAGTTAAAGACTAGTCAGAGAATTTTCATGATACGATGAGAAATATACATATTGGTCTTTGTCCCCAGTTCCTGTCACACAGCTACGAGAGCCCTTGGAATCTCCAGAGCGACGGAAGTGTCTTGTATGCTAGTGGGTTGACTAGTGGTTGGGGCCCCTAACAGCTTCAGGATGGACGGCTGGTTGCCAGAAAAACAGGGGCATGTTTAGAGAGTTGGAGTTTTCAGCCCCACCCCCAACCTCCAGGGAAGGGAGAGGGGCTAGAAATTGGGTTAATCACCAATGGCCAGTAACTGAATCAATCATGCCTACGTAATGAAACCTCCATAAAAATCCTTAAATAATAGGCTTGGAAGAGCTTCTGGGTTAGAGAACACATCAAGGTGCTGGAAAGGTAGAACGCCTGAAGGGGGCATGGAAGCTCCAAGCTCCTGCCCCTTAACATTGCACTGTGCATCTCTTCCATCGGACCGTACCTGAGTTGTATCCCTTGTAATGAACTGTCAATAGTAGGGAAAGTTCTGTGGTAAAGTAGGTAGTTTCCTGAGTTCTGTGAGCCGTTCTAGCAAATTATTGAACCTGAGGAAGGGGTCATGGGAACCCTCAGTTGGTAGCCGATCTGTCAGGAGTGCAGGTGGCCACCTGGGACTTGCAACTGACATTTGAAATGGACCTGAACCCTTAAACTGCGGGGTCTGCACTAATGCTATGTAGTTAGTGTCAAAATTGAACTGAATTGTAGGACACTCAGTTGATGCCCAGAGAATTAGAGAATCGATTGGTGTGGGGAAAAGACCCACACATTCAGTGTCAGATGTGTTGTAGGTAAAGGCAGTTCAGAATTTTGCCCTCCCTTTAAGAGTAATTATAATATAATGTTCCACAGTAATTAAGGGTACAAGTTCAAGTACTCACATGCCACCTGGCTGTGTCTGCTACAGTCAGGCTCCCTTGGATGTTCCTATATACTTTAGATGCACTCCATTTTAGTTTAAGCTTGTTTGGATCTACCTCTACTCCCTAAAAACAATTTCTCCCTATCAAAATCAACAAGCCTCTCCTCACTTCACACCCACTAGGATCAATCAAGAAGGGTAATAACGAGCATTGTTGAGGATGCGGAAAAATCGCAACCCTCTTACACTGCTGGTAGGAGTGTCAAATGGTGGGGTCATGCTGGAGAACAGCCCGGCAGTTCCTCAAAAGGTTAAACACAGAGTTGACAACTCTATGGCAACAATTCTACTCCCAGATATATATCCAAGAGAAATGAAAATGTATGTCTACACAAAAATTTATAAAACTAGCAGCATTATTCATAATAGCCAAAATGTGAAAATAGCCCAAATGCCCATCAACTGATGAACGCAACTATAAAATGTGGTATATCCATAGAGTGAATATTAGTCAGCAGTAAAAAGAAATGAAGTAGTGTATACTACAACTTGGATGAACCTTGAAAACATTATGCTAAGTAAAAGAAGCCAGTCCCAAAAGATCCTATGTCCTACGGGTCCATTTATATGAACTGTCCAGAAATGGCAAATCCATAGAGACAGAAAGCAGATTGGTGGTGCCAGGGACTAGGAGGGGAATGGAAAAAGGGAGTGACAAGTTCACAAGCATGGAGTTTCTTATTGAGGTGATAAAAATATTCTAAAATGGATTGTGGTGATGATGGTCATACAACTATGTGAATATACTAACAGCTATTGGACTATACACTTTAATCGTATGGTATTTAATTTGTATGGTATATGAATTACATCTCAATAAAGCTGTTCCCAAAAAAGAATACAGGCTCCCAAAAAAGGATCCAGGCTATGTGTGTTTGAACACCTGTGGAAGTTCTGGTGTCCAGTGACAGGGATTTGGGTGCAAGTACTGTAGTTGGAAAGATATTTCAGGAAGCATAGTCAGGAAATAGGGAAGCGAGATAGGGAAGGAAGGAAAGCCAATAAAGGGACATTAGTGAGTGAGTTATCTTTGTGGGCACCTGGGGCTCCATCCTTCTGGGACTGAGCAAAGGCTTTGGAGACCACCGTTCGGAATTGTTCCTCCAGGGAATGAGAAATCTGGGTTGTTCCAATGAATGCCAACTTCCTAGGACTTCCAGCCTGCCCCACACAAAGGCCAAGCATGCTTCTACAACCAGAGGAAGCCCACAGACAAGAAGAGAGACAGAGACAGAAACACAGAGGCAAATAGAAAGATAGGCATGCAGGGACTTGAGGTAGGAAGCAGAGTACACAAGAACTGTTCCCCAAACCTACAGTGATGTCTAGCGTGACTGAGCACTGCCAGGGTCTGCTCACAGGGGTGTTACCTAACCACTCTGTACCTTGCTTCCTGCATCCTTAAAATGGGGAAGATAATAGCACCTATCTCATAAGGGTGCCGTGCGGATGAATGAGTTAACGTATCTGAGTATTTGAGACAGCCAAAAAAACTTATCTTGGAACTTTGTTTTTTAAACTTCTGACTTATCCATGATCATTTCTCTTCTGAATGGGCTTCTAACAAGATAGAGAAGAAATCCAGCTATTATAAGTGTCAAAGAAAAATAGAATCATTGCCGAGAATAGTCTTCTTATTAGGCCCTCTTTGTGTGTTACCAGCTTTGAATGGCTGCCTTTTGAAAGGAACCATATGCTTTGTGAGCACATTAGGCAGATGCCCATCCCAGTAAGATCTGTTCCCAGAGCAGCTCTATCATCTCTCAGTCTTGCTCTTCTATTTCCCAAAAACTGTTGGCAGGATTCAAGCAAGAGAGGTTCATCACAGCACTCTTTGGTACTTTTCTTTGTGTCTCTCCCTATTTTCCCAAAGCTATGTTCTGAGGATAGTAGACCCTGGGGAGCTTTCTTTCGGTGAAGCTTCAATAGTGTGGGGACTGAAGCCAGTGGCTGCCATTCCAGGCAATTCTGAGTTATACTTCTGTCAAAGGCATTTACACTTGGTATGTTTCATTGCTCGTGGAGGATTAAAACCACCCAGTTGGGGAACAACCAGGGTAAAATAGGGTTAAAAAAAATCCAACTGCATTACATCGAGCTCAAGCCGTCATGATTAAAACCTAATTTCAGGATGTGTTCACCCAAGAAAATCTCTCTGGATTGTTTCAGGCTGTGACTCTTCAATTAAGCTGACATTTCACAAATGCAAAATTACTACAGATGAGCTCTTCGCCTCGCTTCGGGATATCGCTGGAGCTCGGAATCTCATGAAACAGTTTAAGTCTGTATATGTTCCTGGAAATCATACCCACCAGGCAAGTACATATGTTTTAAAGTAACCATCTAATCTGTGTTGGATTTTTAGGATTCAGAGACCACAAAAGGAAATTTCCATCTTAGCCTATCTAAAACGAGGGATTTGTTCTAGATGAACTCCAAGCACCCTTCCAGTTCAGAGTTCTGGGTTCCCCTGAATGTGAAAGCCTCTTGATTCGTTTGCACTCATAGGCTTGATACAGGGAGATGAGCACCGGATTGGGGGCCAGCCACTGCTCTATAGCTGTCACATATTTGGTAACCTTAAGCAAAAGTCCCTTTACTTTGTTGGGCCCTAGTTACTATTGGTGCAGGGGAGGGGCTGTGGCCTTCTGTGATTCCCAAGCTTCTAGATCTAAGCACTCCCTAAACATTCTGAACAATTAGAACAAAATTACTTAGTAATACTATGGCAAGGAAAAAAGAAGTTTGTGACAGCAAAACCTTTGTTATTAACATTCCCCCACCACTTCCTAAGGGCAGTGGGGGAACTTTAGAAGGGTGTTTTGAACAGTGAGTAGGAAGATGGTATGAGAATCCAAGATTATAAGCTCAATGAGGGAGGGGCCCCAGAGAGACCCAAAGGGAAGCTTAAGGAGTGAAGAAAGGCTGGAGTCATGGAGGCTGGGCAGTCTCTGTTGGACAAGGGTAGAGACACAGCTAAGGTTCCTGGCGGCCAAAGATAGCTTTGAAGGAAGAACAGATGTTTCTGACGGGAAAAATAATCCGTGGAGTGTGTGCAAGCATCTTCTCCTTCATCTCCCCATGAGATCTCAGTAAAATCCACTCTGTTTGCTATGGCTCCTTGGGGAGCTGAATGTGCTGTTAGTGGGGACGCTGCCATAGCGAGGGGTTCAGCGTCAGGACGCTGACCCTTTAAGGTGGGCATATAGATGAGAGCTAAGGTTATCTGCGATAGTAGCCTAGCCAAATTCAGACTCTTCCTCCCGTATATTGTTACAGTACTGATACTTGAAGAGTGCTCCCACATTGGGCTTGTCCTTTGATCCTCACAAGAAGTAAGCCAGGAAGGCCACATGACTTGCCACAGAACCACAGGTGGCCAAGGCCAGATGCCAGGTTTTGGCCGCCACTACGAAACTTCCTCCCCACTATACCATGGATCTCATGGAGGCTCTAGAAGTACTGATTGATGGTGCTGATGGGCATCTGAAATCACCCACCAACATATGAAAGACCTTGGAGGCTGGCTCTCAACTTAGTAACATAAATTCCCATCTTTTGTTCAATGACCTGAGAATGCCACCACCACAAAATACAGATAAAGTCACTCAGATCATTCATCGTATGTAGTTTGGTCATTAAAAAAATCGCCAATGTTAAATACAGCAGTATGGACTAGTTCTAGAAGACACAGAACTGGTGATTTATGATGAGATTTAGACCAAAGAATGTCAAGAAGCAAGTGGCTGCTATAGTTGGCAAAGTGCAAAGAAACCATTAAGTTAATAAGCTCTTCTCAGTTTTATGATTATCATTGTGACCAATTTAGCCAAGTTCACATAAATATGCATTAGCCATGAATCTTGGGCATAATTAGGACAGTGATAAATTTCCTAGACTTAATCTCCCTGCTGCCAACACTGTCATTTCTCCGGACCCCGGAACCCTTTCCTGCAGCCATTGCCTTTGGAAAATGAACTTTTCCTTTGTTGTATATACTCTTTTACAGTGAGTCAATGACATCAACCCATTAACTGAAAATCCTAAATGTCAGTGAGCAGGAAGTAGGGGCAAGGTGGGGAGTATGTGTGTGTCTGAAGGGGATTTAGTAAATAATGATACAGACACATGCTCTGAAGTGTACACTGTGCAGCCATTAAAATGAATGAGACAACTCCAAGCGTGCTTAGCAGGACTCTATGTGAATCCTTGGCTCAGGCTCTACTTCTTGGAGAACTCAGACTAAAACAGAGGTTTATGATCTGTTAGGTGAAAAAAAAAATGTAGATCATTCTGTCAAGCATTTTTCTATTTTTGTTTAGAAAATAAAAAAATAAAAAGTATATAGGTATGTATATTTAATAATTCTTTAAAAATTAAGGAAAACTTTCTAATGGTTGCCTTGTAGGGGGTGGGAAGGGTTGGATGGACAAGGAGGAACTCTGACTTCCTGCTTCATGTGGCTAGAGAAAGAGTTTTTGATGGGATTATCGGTGATTTTTACGTGTTTGGGTATTTTGATAATTTTTTAATTTAAAGTTTTCAATTGTAGATGTAAGCCCAGTGAGGACAGGAATTTTGATCTGGTTTGTTCACTGCCATATCCTCAGTGTGTAGAGTGGCAATTTCTATATAGTGCATGCTTAATGAATATTTGTTGGCAGCATCTTGAACGCAATACATATATTTTTATCATATATTGGAGGATTTGAGGGCATGCAAAGTATGTATAATGAGAAAAAAGTAAATGTCGAGACTAGATTCAGAGTCCAACTGTGGGCCTTGACTGGGCAACTTTCTGTCCATCTCTTCTCCCAACTTGGTCCTCAGCCCTGAGGCTCTGGCGGGGCACGAGGGTGGGGGGCTCGGAGAGTGTGCTTTCTATCTAGCTCCATGCTATTTCTACACAGCGTCTAGCTGCGATGTTCTCGGCTCGCTGCGATACCCAGGAAAGCACTAGACCTGGTCCAGCTCCAGATTTCTGTTCCAGCTCTGACCAGGGCTATGAATTTAGGCTCTCTCCCCTGGATCCCGGGGCCCCTACCTGCCCCACGTGCCCTCCTGGCACCCCTCTCTCCTACTCCAGAGCACAAGCTGCCTCTCAGAACCACTCCTTTCACCCCTGCTAGCACCTGAGGCACCTCTTCTTTAACCTCCATCCTTTAGCCCTTTGAGAGAGTGTGTCAGCCACAGCCCAGAAAGCAGACATCACTCTCTTCGTTTCAAGGAGAACATGATTTCATACAAGACATTGAGTACATATAAAGTCTCTGGAAGAGCTGGAGGAGTGGGATCTAGACTCCTTCTCCAGAAATGATCCCAGAAGATCACCACACACCCGGCCCTCCAAGAGAACCAGCCCTGCTACAGCCGGGAGAGTGGGCATGATGGGGACCGTGAGGCCACCGCTGAAGCTCTTGACTTGCAGAACATACTACAAATGCCGGACATGGCATCCATGTTTGTTCACCATGGTGTATCTGCAGAGCCTAGCTCAGTGCTAGCCTCCTAGTGGGTGGGTGGGCAGGTGAATGGATGATGGTTGGATGGATGGAAGGAGGGATGGAAGGGCTCTGGACTGTGAGTCTTATCCACAGTGGCATTTCTTATGCTCTTAATTCTTAGAGAGACGGAGGTTAGCAGCAGCATGTGAGTTCATAGCCCCGCATGGCAGCATTCAGTTCACAGGTCCAGAGCCCTACCACCTGTGTGGCCTTAAGCAGGTTACTTCACCTCTCTGTGCCTAGTTCCTCCACCGTACGAAGGAGCTAATAATACTAATACCTCCCTCATAAAGATGCTCAAAGATAGGTGAGTTGATACATGCAAAGCTTTTAGGACAGGAGCTGACACAGACAGCACTATGTAGGCATTTGCTGAAACAGTTGCAGTAAAGAGCAGAATAGGCCTCTTTTTGGTCCTCTTTTGTAGCATTTCACCTTTTCCTTTGCTAGGAGATGGGCCTCATAGAAGGGGAGTCATTCTCAAGCGACTGTACTATTAGCTGCTGTGTATGGTAAGGGCTTATTACTGACGCCCGTTGGTTTGGAAAGGTTGTGTTTGCTCATAGACTCTGTTGAGTGGAAACCTGAGCCCACAGTTTTGCCTGTGCAGCAAGTCTTATGCTTTTGTTTCTTGCTGCGAATGTTCTAGTTTAATGGGAGGCTTAACCTCCTCCCTAAACGCCAGTGTTTGATGTGCCGCTTTTCCTCAGCGGCAGCATCAGGAGGCTATTAGGCCAATGTCTCATGGCAAAGAGCTTCTGTGCCCTTTCAGACGAAATACTGTATGACTCTTGCTTGACTTGCTTTGGCAGAAGTCTCAAAGTGCTGTGCTGGAGAAAACTTTCCACAGATGCGTACTGTCTTTTGTGCCTCTGGAAGGCTCAACAAGAGTATTTAGAACCAGCGGTGCCCAAGGAGGCCTAATTCATCTGGTGCCTGGTGAAATATGGCTCTCTGAACAGTCTGTAGGCCCCGTCTCTTTGTCAACAATCCCCAGCCCTGGCTGTTCTTTTCCACGTGCTGAGCTCTCTTCTTCTTCCTCCTGATTCTGTCTTCCTCACTCCAGACCTGCTAGTGCCCTTTTGGAAAGAAGCAACACAAGATGGGACTAAACTGGGGGCCAGGAGACTTGGCTCTGTCCTGTAGTCCGCTTCTAACTGCCTGTGTAAACTCAAGCAAATTAGTAAATTGCTTTGGGCTTATTTTTTTTTTTTTTCATATTGAAGTTGAAGGGACTACACTCAAAATTTTACAAAGTAATCTGCTTCTGGTTTGAAAGAAAGATGGATGGATGGATGGGTAGATGGATGAACAGATAGGCAAATGAACCACTTTTTAATCTGCAGAGCAAACCATTTCCTTTAAGAAGATGAAGGGGAAAAAAAAATCAGTGATAGTAAAGCAAAAAATAAAAATAAATGAGCCATGGAACAGCCAAAGCCATCAGCAGTTTTGAACAGATGTTTTTCTGTACAGTCATGGATTGAGACAAAATGAATACTCTCTCTACAAGAGTATTAGAATCAATTTTGCAGAGAAGGAAGAAGCATCTTCAATAATAGGACTGAGAAGGCCCATGGCTGCACCAACACCAATCAACAAAGCCAAGGGCAGCAACGCTGAATGATGGGGATGTAGTTGTGGCAACAACTCAGAGAAAGTGTCTCTGACTTATGTATAATATCAGAAACTACTGCTATACTCAATAGCTTTGTTCAAGAGCTAGAACCAGATGAATAAAAGAATTTTCTAGACCTCCTCACACATTATATCCACCACAAAAGAGTAACCGGAGACAGAGACACAAATGT